ATCGCCCATCCATAAAAAAAAGTGTTTCACACGGCTCCGGGGGGTGAAAAAAGGCCTTCTGTAGCGAATTGATGCGCTTTTGTAAGAAAAATATCCATATTCAAAACATAATAATCACTTGAATCTAGCTTGCGCTCACTGTTGTAAACAGAAGCAGCTCTGTGCGGATGATGTATGAGGTCGGCTTTGCGCATGCGCTGCTCAAAAGTGACGCACACAGAAACACAGCGGAGAGATCAAAACAAAACAACGGTTAAGAATTAGAAGTACAAAACGAGGATTTGTAAAGAAGAATGTCCGAGGATTTCGATATAAGCCAAGAGGAGACTGGTTTTCCATTGCTAAAGTAAGGAAACTTTCATTCCTTTGCTCCTGTTAACATCCTGTTAACAAATGTTGGTTTTCACGAGACTCACCGGTGCATGCACAGCGCTGACCTCATACGTCATGTTCCCGGGACTGCTTACAGTGTACAACTGCTGGCGCAAGCTAGATTAAAGTGATTATTATGTTTTGAATATGGATATTTTTCTTACAAAAACGCATCGATTCGCTACAGGAGGCCTTTGTTCGCTCCCCTGGAGCCGTGTGAGACACTTTTTTTTTTATGGATGGGCGATTTTTATTTAATTTCTTTTGGACTGATGCATGCAACATCCGCTGACTGCCATTAAACAGCTTGAAAGATCAAAGACCATTTTTAATATAACTCCGACTGGATTCGTCTGAAAGAAGAAAGTCATATACACCTAGGATGGCTCTGGGGTGAATAAAACAAATTTTCATTTGTGGGTGAACTAACCCTTTAAAACCAAACTTGATTTTAAATAGCTACACCAGGACAACCTCCAATACAATGCATGAGAAAAGACCAAAGCATGCAAAATCAATCAATCAATCAATATTTTTCGTTCAATTAAGAACATTGTATTACAGTAATTGTTTAATACAGTATAAAATACTAAAACCACCGCTCACATTTTCCTCAGAAAGTATTCAAATCTAGTTGTGATTATCATTTTGGTGTCCTGACATTCAGAAGGCCTCTTACAGGACAGACATCACAGAACAGAAGCACCTATACATCAAGTATATCTATTCTACACGAACTGAATCAATTCCAGCCCAAAAGGAATAATCATCCAACTTCAAGGACAGAAGTGCAGTCCTATCATCCAGAATAACCTGCTTTGACATTGTAACCTTAAATATGGTTATGGACTGCTGCAACGTTAATGGTATACAGCACTTCCAAGCACTTCTATGAAAACAGACCTTGATTAAAATGACTTGAGGTAGGTTATAAATACATGTTATGTAGATTAAAACTCTGCACATTCAAGGCTTTTCTGAAGAGGTGCATCCTGGGACAAACTCATCCAGTTCCATTTTTAATTGAGCACAGGCCTTCAGAGAAAAGTGCTTTTGAGATCACATAAATTCAGTTCTCGGTGTCCACTGTGTGTGATATAGCAGGGTTGTTAAGCATTCTGAATTCAACTGAACAGAATGCCTTTAATTCCAGTTCCTTTTGAATTGAGGTAGCAATTTCAAATTTAAAGAAAGTATAGAATGCAAAGAATACAGCTGTCATTTTTCAGCAGACAGACAGACAGACAGACAGACAGATAGATAGATAGATAGATAGATAGATAGATAGATAGAT